TGAAAAGTAAATGTTCTCTGAAAGGTATCTTCTTCACAAGTTAGATCGCTGAGCATGAATGACTTCTACCCTGCTGTGTCTTGCTGGTTTGGAATATGAGGTGTGTGTCTCATTGCTGGGCTTCTGACTTTACTGTGCAAGTTGCCAGGGGAAGGGGAGCACGTGTGTGAACATACTCATCTGCATTTTTTTCTTGTCTGTGTGCACAGATTTCCTCTCAAAAGACTGTAGGAGTCCAATCACCTGAAAATCGAGAATGTTTGTTCCCACGTTTCCTGGTTTTCACACAAGGGATGCTGTATCTCTGTTTGCTCATCACTGAGAACTCACATGTTTGTTTATTTCTCCTCATTATGGGATGAGGTGTATACAACTGTCACAGAAAAACCCCTTGCACCTGTTTGAGCCTTTTGACCAGACTGACTTGACCAGACTATTCTAGTTGGCCATTACATAAAAAAATGAGTGTTTCCTATAATTCTGCTATGATCAGAGATGGTTGACTTTTTGTTTTGTTTTGAGTTGGATTTTTCTTGGTTTTGTTGTTGGGTGAGGTTTTTAAGGTTTCTTGGTGATTTTTTTCCCCCGTCTTATTAATATTCTTCATTTTTTTTCCTGAAGTTTCTGTGTGTGTGTGTTTGTGTTTTTGTGCTTTTGTTGTTGTTCTTGCTTGTTTAAAATGAATGGTTAGAGAGAGACTTGGCATAGAAAGGACAAGATTCTACAAACTGTTGAATTATGGAGCACTTGCCAAAGTCCTGCTGACATGCATGGAATGAAGTCTGTCCCGTACCTGTTAAGTTGCCTTTGTTTTACAGGGCAGAGAGGATAATTTATTGGGAATGGTGGAAATGGATAGTACTTCACTGTTTCAGTTTCTTCTTTTTTTTGTGTGTGTTTGTGCTAAACCTTATCTGAAGAAAGGCAATCTCTGCACAGTTTTGCCATGGGTGTGGAAGTCCCAGCACCACTGCTGATCAAAAGAGAGATCATGTTTTTCTAGGATGGCAATGTAAAGTCCAGGTTACATCCTGTTGCTTGATACTTATATATTAATGAATGGTAGGTCAAAAGGCCTTGGGTTACCTTGTCTTGAAGTTCATAATTTGATGAAACTTCTTTTCATTTCTCTTGCATTTCTTCTGTGCTGAACTACAGAAACACTGATCTTATTGGTCAGTTTCCTTGTTTTTCCTTTTCCATCTTGAGAAACCTGGTGCTTTTACTGAGAACAGTGCTGGTAGGTCATTTATATATTCTGCTTATTTATTTCATGACTATATGCATTTTTTTTCATTTACATTTAAGTGAGAATAAGTTGTTCAAGCCCCAGTAAAAGCCACTGTACATTTATGTATTAGAATCAGCTGCTTATTTTCACTGTCTCTGTCACAAGGACTGGATGAAAGCATTCATGTAACCATCAGTTAAACCTGATCATAGACCTGAAGTGTTCCCACTTGTAACTTCTCCTGCAGACTAGGAGCTGGTACAGGTCTTAACAGGTATCTCAGTAGTGAGTACAGTGAAAGATGTTTGTGGAGAGAAGACGGCTGTTGAACTAAATTTAGGCTGAATTTATCTCACACTGAAGAATGGTATGCAACTTTTTTATAGTATGTTGTGGTTAAAGCATGGAAAATACCCTTGCTTCCCGTGCTTAAAACAGGCTTTTAAATCACTCACTTTCTTTGTGCGTTATTTTAGTGGGGTAACAATAAGGCTTTTATTACAGAGTGCTTTTGTATTGTCCTTCATAACCATTGTTGCTCTGACAGAGAAAGATTAATTATTTTTCTCGCTCACATTCAATAGTATTAACAGGCTTCTAGGCGCCTTCTGACTGCAGTTGCTAGAGCCTGTCAGAAAAAGCAGCTGCTCATGTCAGATCCAAGGCAGAGCTAGATCTGTGGGATTTCAGTCTGCAATTTGTGGAGCTACATTCTACTACAGAGATGTTTCAGAAAGTTGGCTAGAAAATGCAAATCTGTGCCACATATTACTCCTTAAATGTGAACTGCAAAGGCATCTGCTTCCACTGAAATAGTTTGAGATCTGTCATTAGGAAAATGTTGAAAACCAGAAATTTCAAGCAGTCAAGTGAGAATATGTAAGTCACTATTGTGGAAAAGTTCCTATGAGGTCACCTGAACTGTTGCTAGGTTAGAGAGACTGCAGTGGGAATGTTTTCCATTTTCCTTTCTCGAATGTCTCTGAAGGAAACAGACCTGCCCTCTCCTTTCTGGACAAAAGAAAAGGAGGATTGTAGTATCTAAAAGGCCCTGTCTGAATAATGCCCAAAAGAATATGCATTGTTAGATGTTATATGGAGTTAAAGTGAACATTGCTGGTCAATGTATGGCTGATGCTTTTGTTGATGTGATGCCTGATTCGCTGACACATTGCTCACACTGCTCCCATCTCACCCCCGGCCTCAAGTAGTTTTATACAAGGTTGCTAACTGCAGGTTTGGCTGAGGAGTACTTAAAAGATTTTAAAAATACATTAAAAAGATAAAAATCACGCTCTCATTAAGGTGTCTGACCTTGTTTGTCTGTTCCCATAGAAAACCTCAGGCAGATTTATGTTATCACCAGGGAACAGACACCTTGTGTAGCATACTCCTGATTTACATTCAGCTCCTTCACTAGCTCCAAAACTCAGTCTTTTTTGCTTCTTCCCTGAAATTTCAAGTGACTACATCCTCAGCTGATTTCAATTTCATGATTATTTTATTACTATTGCTTTATTTCTTCTATTTGTTCATGGTGAGATCTGGAATTTATAAGGTAAATCATAATTGCAGCTAGCTCTGCCAGGCTCAGAACACTTGCCTGTTTCTTTTCTTTCTACCCCTTTTGGCAATTTGTCAGGAGCACTGTGTTAGAATTATCTTTAACATTATAGAACAAACTTCAAAAACAAAAAAATAAAAGCTTGTTTTAAGAAACAAGTTAAACTCTATAGCGACTTCTATTGATGCAGTTGATATTATGAAGGGCAAGAATTACATGATTTGTAAATTGATATGAAGTTCTTAAACTGCATGATTGTAAGGCTGTGTTGGCATCAATTTGGATGTAAGCAAAATTCCCATGTCTCTCACCACCTGCTTACAAATAACTACTGTAGCTAAGCACAAAAGGATCTGAGCAGAAGATGAATCCAAATTTCTTTTTATTTTTCTTCAATAGCCAAATAAATTAAGAGCTTCATGCTTCATGGAGAATCAAGGTAGTTAATTACTTGTCAATGCTCTGAACTTCTCATCACCTCGATGGGGAGGAGCATAGGAGCTGCAAGTTAGCTGCAAGCAAGATGATGACTTCATGCCTCAGAGTATATAGGATAAAAAAATGAATGTTGAAGGAAATTTCTGATGAAAGAGAAATTTCTCTATACTAGTAAATAAGGCAGTACCTCTCCCTGCACATCTATAGAGAATGCTATTTGGTATGCACACAGGGAAGGAAAGGCAGTATCTTCATCACTGGTGATTTAATGCTCCCTCTCTGAGATCTCACTGAAATGATAATTTTCAAGGAGGTGTAAAGAATTTTTGCAAGTTGAGACATGTCATAGAGATTGTTGGTCAAATGCAAATACTGATTACAAAGTATGGAGGGTTTGGATTGCCTCTAAACATTTCTATTTTTTTCTTGGTTGGTTGGTTTGGGTTGGGTTTTTTTTATTCATATGATAAAGCTATTACTTTTTTCTTCTGTCAGGAGCTTACAGTGGTAATCAAAACACTATGTTTAGTCCTTTTATCTGTAGAATAGAGGTTATCTCTTTTTAAAGAAGAGTTTGATTTGGTATTTCAGTTCTGTTTTGTTTTGGTTTTTTTTTCCCTAAACACAGTTTTGCCCTTGGCTGATTTGCGCACTAAGCTTTTCCGGCTTTTAAGGGTTAGAGTGCTTTTTCTGTACTCTTCCTTTCTGAACCTCAGTTCATGTTGTTTGCAGGGTGAAAATCATATGAAGAATCATAATCTCTTCCTGCACCCTAAAAACAGGCAGATTAAAAAATACAGGCAGTAGGCCTCCGTAATAATTTCTGACTAAGTATTTTACTGCTTTTTCCATCTGTTACACTAAAATCTGACTTAAACTAAGCATAAATCTAGTCAGAAGAGGTCACTGGGGTATTAATCATCTGAGTTAATCCTCTTAGACATGTGTTTGGTATGAGGCCAGCTATTCAGAAGTTGAACAGCACACATATGTTGCTTATCTGTCTGGCAGTTTGCCAAAGAAGTAAACTTCTGTGGTGGGTTTATATCTCTGTAAAGTATGCTGCTTGTTTGGTGCAAGCTGATGCAGCTTTTCTGTACATCACACATGGTGCATAGCCTGCTACTGAAGAATGAGTTCCTTTCAGGGTGCTTTCAAAGAGCTGTAGTGTTGGTGTTGCATGGTAAGAAGTGATATCATTCACAGTTGACCTTTTCATGGTGCTTCCCTATGAAGTACGATGAGCCAGATTTAATGCTACTAACTTAGAGCAGAGGAAGAGACAATATTTCAAGTAGAGTAATACTGTGGAACCCAAATATAGCTGAATGAAACCTCACCCTGCTTCCACTGCTGCCATTCTGACTTGGAGGAAACATTCATGTACATAAATACAACTCTTTCTTGAGTCAGGTCTGGACTGGATCCAGCATTTCTGTTTCTCACTTCATAGCAGTATGCTTCATACTCGACAGAAAAACTGTTATATCATATCCTAATTATGGAACTGATTTATCCTCTGGGGCTTATAAAGCAAACAGTAGGAATGAGAGCACTCATTAAAAAATTAGCGTATTTTTAGAGGGCAGCTAGAAACAAAAGTGCAACTCCACTGAAAAGGTTAATGATGAAAAAAAAAAATACTTCCATTAAAGGAACTTCTTAAAACATTCTGAGATTATGGTCAAAAGAACATATACTTCTTAGTAATGTGTTTGGATTTTCTTGCAAGAAATTTTAAATTTTCTTCTTGCCTTTCTTCTCAAGGAAAAGAATGAAAGCTCGTGCTCCCCCTCCACCAAATCAATCTTCTGCAGCAAGTAGAATTCACAGTGAGCACAAGTCACCTGCAGAGACAGCTGTGATTTCTGATCAGAACCTCATGAGCATGAAAGAGAACATGATAAACAGACTGGTGAACTTGACAGTCGTTTTACCCAGTGGGGTGGAGCAGAAGTGCACAGTGCAAGGAAGGTAAGACTTTGATTCCTACTTTTTGAAGCCTTTTGTTCCCTATGGGATACTTGCTGATGCTGTCTTTCTGAGTTTATGGGGCTTCTCTCTCATGATTTTTTCCGGATTTTAAGCAGCTTTTGCACCAGAGTCCTGAGAGCCATGTACAAATGACCCTGTTTTCTGAGGCAGGAAGGATTTAGCAGCTATTGTGTCACTGTTTTCCCCATTGATCAACATGTCTATGGATGTATCCCTTTCGTGTAGTGTCACTGTGCTTAGGTTGTATCACATCTCATAATCCAGAGTGGGCTCGCTGCAGTGGAAGTAGGTGCTGCTGGCAAACAGTCCTGACAGTATGAGTGCCTGGAGGCATTCCAGGAAGCAGGCTCGGCTTGGAAGATGGATGATTCATCGCATTCAGATATCCTGCCTTCACAAATACAGTGCAGTTGTGTAGACAGCAAAGCATCTGCTCGTATTTAGGATGCCTTTGATATATAAAAGTGTATTTATTTTTTTTACACTGAAAGAGAGAGGGATTTTCCTTGTTACTTACTGGGTAAAATCAAGAGCAAATTGTATTGGAAAGGTAATTTTGAGATAATTCTCTTCACTGTGGGAACTCTTCTTTATCTTCATTCTCTCTGTGTAAATTGTTTTGAAAGAAAGAGACATTACTTAATGAAATAATATGGAGAAGTTTCAGAAATATAAACAATACTATGATGAAACCATAGCAAACAATGTTGTGGTCAGGAGTAGTCAAGAAACCGTAGAAAATGTTAACACCACATTGAAAAGGTACCTGTTGATAAATCAGATTCTGTGTTTATTTTACAGTTGATGTTTTCAGTAGTTAGTCTGCATTCCAGCAGAACTACTTTCTGGTCCAAAATATTAACCTGTGTTGACTGTTACCCTCATAGTGCATTTTGATGGCCGAGTAGGATGTGTAAACTGGTGTTTGGTGTCTGGAACTTCTTTCTTCCCCCTACTTTTCTTATAGAAACTAACATTCACTTATCCACTCTCGGGAGACATGTGCAACTTGCGGGTGTCCACCCCAAAGCCAGAGTGATGTTAAAGGTTTGAAAGGAAAGCAGTGCTTATCAGAGCTCTAAGATAAGATGTGTAGTGATAGAGTTTTATAGGGAGGTCTGGATTTAATGAGAGAAAGAGAACAGGCCTGGTAAGCGGAAAAAGTACATGAAACTCATTGGCCATTGGATCCCAAAGAAAGGTGGTATTTCATTGGCAAATGCAAGCCACCTGGGAGCTGACAAGAGGTTAATATTCATGCAACATTTTGTATTGAGATGTAGATAATTTCCATATGAATAGAAACTTTTCCCTCAAAAGCAAGCAGTACAAGAGCACTTTAAGAGTGGTCGTCTAATGTCACTTTTTGAAGAGCTTTTTTTTTTTTTTTAAATAAAAGCTACAGTAGTAAAGAACAAGTAGAAAGAACAGTAAGTATTCTGTGTCTCACACAGATGCTTATCATTATGTATCATATACACTTAGACTGAGTGTTTTGTTTATTAGTCTTTAGTCTGTGGACAAAAACCAAACCTGAAAGAAATGGCAAATATGAAACTTCATGCATTTCTGTGAGGTTATCTATATCATCTGCATTAAGCATTCTAAGCAACCAAAGTATTCTCTGTTGTCTGTGAAGGTGCACATTTCTCTCCAGGGTCTTCATGACAGGTTTAGGCCTCTGATTTAGGTGGCAATTAAATTCCTGCTTGTGTTAATGTGCTAATCTGCACATCGCTAGTGCCTAACCTAAGCAGTGGCTGTTCTCCCTCAGTGCTATCCTGAAGACTTGGAGTGGAGAATTTAGTGACACTGATAGCCAGCTGTGGGAAGTAGAAGATGATAAAAACTGAGGAAGGGAAATTAATTATCCTAACAAGCTTTGAAATAAGAAAAGGATATTCTGTAATAAGTATTGCAGTGGTATCAGTCTGTGAATCATGTGTGCTGCTGTTCCTTCTAATCACTGGGAGATGCAATTTTCTGTATGTTAGCCTTGGTGATGTTTTTAGGCATGTGGAATAGTGAAAAATAATAGTGTCAGGATTATCTGAAACTTTTAGTGAGGGAATTGTCCTAAGTCCCCAGGTTTGGGGAGCCCAAGTTTTTTCAACTTTGCATGTTTTGGTATTGTGAACTAAACAGCTATGAAATACAATGATACTAAGGGGTAAACATTAAATGATGATGTTACTGGATTTTAAAAAATGTGGTGGTTGTTTTTTTGGTTTTTTTGGGTTTTTTGCTTTTTTTTTAATTTGAGGCAAGTGCAAGAGCCAGTGCAGGTAATGAATTATTTTCCCCGTTCACTCTTTTTATCTGTGATGATATCATGGGAGGACATTTCAGGAAAATCTGCTGTTGTTTATACTGCTATAAATCTTCAGTATTTTTGCATTAAAACTGTATTCTGCAAAATTGCTTTTTGGCTACCCTCGGGAAATAGCTTTTCTGTTTAAAAAAAATTTGCAAATCATTGCCCTGGGCATATTTATAATGAAAAATGATTCTGTAATTTCAGGAAAGCAGTTCACAGCACAATTAAGTCTACTAGATTATATTTGAAAATATAAATATGTAGTTAATTAGTATCACTTAAGATTATTACCAATGAACTAAAACTAAAAATTGCATCTTTTAATTTCATTGTATGTATGTAAAGCAACATGTAATTTAACTTTGTTCTCTATGTAAAAATTTGCTGTAAATATCAGCAAGAGGGCAGAAAATTCCCATTAAGTTTTCTTGAAAAAACACTTTAAGAAAAGAACTGTGTGCTATTTAAAGATATTTTACTGTAATCTGAAACCTTGAAATTGTTTTATTTATAAAAGTTAACTCAAGCTGACAGTATCTCTCTAATGGTTTGTTGCCATCTTGTAACACAATGTGTTTGAGAATTTGGAAATATGTAGCGCAGATTTTAGTACAAAGCTGAGTCCTTAGGGAGTTTGTGCAGCAATAGAATAGTATTAACAAATAGTTTTCTTTTTTAAAGAATTGATCCCTAGGAACTCTACTGTAAAACATGTAGAAGTATTCATGAAAAATTGTTAGCCTACTTCCCCTTGAAAAGGAGGGAAACACTATTCTGTGTTTGTACTTGTGTGTGAGCACTAACTGATGTAAAGCATTGGCCACTTACACATTTTATGCATGTAGATCTGTAGCACATCCACACAAACTGTAAACAGGTCTGAGAGAGGTGATGAGTAGACATTTAGGTGGAAAACAAGTGGAAAAGCTCCCAAGTTACCAGTTTTCTGTTTGTGATTCTCAGTGGTAGTACTTTCAGTGGGTAACCTGTAAATAAAGGGATCGTGCATCTGTCTCTGTTCACACTGGGTGGCACTGAGGAGGACATCCTTCTTAACACAGATACAGACATTAAATGTCAGCAGGTTGCAACTCAGTAGTTTTTGAAATACATTGCAGAAAAATTGGGATGTTCAAAGCTAAGTGTGGTTTGGTTTGGAGTTGTTAACATGTGGATGACCAATACGCAGAAAAGGAAACTGGACAGTTGTTGCTCTTGCTGTTGTCTTACATGTTACACAAATTCTCTCATACATATGATGCACAGAGAGCAGAACACTAGAAGAAATAATAAACTAGACGAAGCTGGAGTCCAATTCCGCAAATACTGGAGGACAGAGTTCAGTACAGAGTACACATTATATGGTGCATAAAGCTAATGTCATCACAGAAAGAATATTCTCACATATTCTCAGTAATAGACTCTTTATTGTGGTTTTATAGCTCAACATACACAACAGTGTCTCAGGAGAGATTGAAGGTATGAAATCAACCCAGGCTGGTAAAACATTAAAGGTGTTGTTAGAAGATGAACAGGGCACATGGCAAAAAGACTAAAAAATTAGTTTAACAAAATACTGAATATGAGTCAGGTCAAAACTACAGTAGTTCAGTGTAGGCTAAGGGAAAAAAAAAAGTTGTACTAGAATTTATGTTGGGAGGGGCCACTGGACCACACAATCTCTAGGCAAGTTTGAATACCTTCAGGGAGGAGGTTTCTGGAGTTCTCTGCACCTCTGTTCCAGGGCTGGAACCATCTTTATGGAGACAATATGTTTACTAGTACCTAAATGGAGTTTTCTATTCAGCACTTGTCTCTTGCTACTTGTCATCTTGCTGTATACTGGCAAGAAGAGTCTGTCTCTGCAACCTTACAGTTCATAGTTTCAGACTTCAGCAAGGTCTCTTTTCACTTTGCTTGTCCTAAGGCTCAAAAGCACAGTCCTCTGTCTCTTCTTGTGTGTCATCTTGATGTTCCTTCCGTGGACTTGCTCAGTTAAGGAAAATAAGAGCCAAATATACAGAAGCAAACTAAGAAAAGAAACAAAAACATTTATGAGTGTCATATTTATCACGCTTACTGAACTCATTTGGATACAGCTTGCTACTTAGTGTGTACATTTTTGTTTGTGTAGAAAAAGTTGTAATCTTTTTATGAAGTACCTGTTGTACTTTCGAGCATGAGAAAATAATGGCTAATGCTATTTTCTGGTTTAAAGGCAAATACCGAAAGAATTAGAGACTTTGGGTCATCCACCTCCTTTACACTATTATGTTTCTTTTCCATCAATTGCTACTGTAGATTCTTCATGCGTATTTGACATTGATCTAAATAAAGAAGAGTCTTTCTTACGGTTTGAGATTTTTTTTTTAAATATTATTTTTTTTAAAAAAAATCGTGGAATCACAGAATAGTTTGGGCTGGAAAGGACCTTAAAGACCATCTAGTTCCAATCCCCATGCTCCAGGGACTTGCTCAAAGGCCCATCCTGGCCTCTCATGCTTCAAAGGATGGTGCATCCACAGCTTCTCTGCATCTGCTCCTGTGCTTCACCATCCTCACAGTGAAGAATTTCTTCCTAATATCTAATCTAAGCTTACTCTCAGTTTGAAGCTATTACTCCTGGTTCTATCATCACATGCTCTTGTGAAAGGTCCATCTCCAACTTTCTTGTAGGCCCATTTAGGTACTGGAAGACATTTGTAGCATGAAAGTAGAAGGTAAAAAGAAAGCTATTTTGATTGATAGAATACAACTTTACCCTGCACACTTCCTTTTAGATGTACAAGGCTACATTTTAAAATGGATTTCTCTGTGTGATCCAAGGAGGTTATGCCAAACCACACCCAAAACATCTCAGTTGTTTTATACTTCCTAAAAACCATAGGCCTCTGCTGCATTTTACTGGAGAAAACAGGAAACAAGCACTCTGCTTAAACTTGATCAGAACTTCAGCATCAGTGTTCAGCTGACAAAGTAGTTATTCTTTACTGTCCAGAATTGGCATTAAATATCAAACAGCTTAGTAATGGAATATCATAACAGAGCCAAAGTACTCTGCTAAGAATAGTCATATAGTCATATGGACCTTCATGTCTGAGTCTTAAATTGTGTTCATTCTCCAGTTTTTCTTCCATGCTCTAGTCTTTGCTTGTCAGTCATTAACCTTTGGAGTCTATTCTGCAGTGTCTGGTCACTTGCTAAAAATTTCAGCAACATCTTACTAGAATGAAAAAGTAAGGTGTTTCTTAGCTGAGTAGTTGGAAAGGCAGGACATATTTAACTTTATTTCAGCTTTAGATTTAAGACCTGCCTGAATTTCAAAACAGACAATAGAAATAGACCAGTAGTATTTCATGTAGAGACCAGATACCCAAGCAGGTTAAAAGAAAGCGGAGATCTTTGGAACAAGATGGAAGAAAAGGAAGAATTGACTCATTGCATCTTCCAAGAGCCATACTCAACCCAAGGTTAGAAAGAAAGGTTGGTCTAGATTAGTAGATTAACATTCTCTTGCTGTGTTTTTTGACTCTTTTCTGTGGAAACAAAATGAAGTCCCATTTAAAATCAAGTTGAACTGTATTATGGTTTAGAAGGAAATTTTTTCAAGTTGGTGCCATTGAAATCTGATATAAGAATAACTTCATTGCAAGGATTTCCCAGCTCTTTTACTTCGCTTGTAACACATGAATTTTGAACTTTGTTTGTGGAATTCCTCTCCTTTCCTGCTTTCCTCCTTTCCTCTCTCATCTCTTTTTTTTTGTTTACACTTCAGAAGTTTTGTGAAAACTTCTCCCCAAATTTACATTTTTTAAAGAGCATACAATTTGCTTTGAAGCTTTTTCAAAAGCTTCAGCTGTATTTTCAAATGGTACAGTTGAAGGCTAGGGATGCTTTCCATGGAACAGTTGTGTATTCTGAGCAGCATGGTACAGGTTAGAATGTTTCTGACTTCCTTAAGTGTTATGCTTAATGCATGCCTGTTCATAATCAGCAATAAGGTGAAATGTCAGATTTGACTGGATTTTTGAATTGTCCATTGTCCAGACAAATCTGTTCAAGTTCATGATTGTCTATAACTTATTTTCTCTGATGTCTGCTGTTGATTCTGATCTTGTTATAGCTGTGGTACTGTTGCTGCTGAATATATTTTATAATTTCAGTGGTATATGTGTGGAATCATAAACTCTTATTTTGATGAACTATCTTCTTTTTACAAGTACTTTTTCAAGAGACAAGATAACTGTCTAAATTTGAATGAATTATCACAGTATTATGCACTACAGAAATATATTACAGTTCTAATTTAAATATAAATGTCAAACACATAGGACACCATGTATTGTGATTCTGCCAGGTTATTTAGTTTTCTCTGGAGCAATAGTAAGAAGGCTGAGGGGGAAAAAAAAAACACATGCAAATTTTAGTTTAAAAGAAATAAGTCTGTAAACAGACAAGTTGAGATGTGTATCAGGAGAACTGATAAACACTTTAAAAAAAGTGTTCACTGCTGCACATTTTAATGAATATTCATGTAAGTGTACGTATTGGTGTCCTGTAGTTTGGACTTAGTAGCTGTAAATGTCTGTTGGTTTGTGGTGTGTAGCAGGTGAATTGAACATGGTTGTGAAACAAAGATGTTTTCAACTTGGGGACAGTGTCAGAATGAGTCATCATGAAATTACCTGTTACAGTTTTGATTTGGGTGCTACCCATTTGTACTGGAACTCTCTATTTTAGCAGTTGCCACACTACATTCTTTGTTCTGAAGCCTCCTATACATATTAAAGGCATCTGTTTTTCTTATTTGATCTTCTGAATTCTTTCCTTTTCAGTGAGATCATGTATTTAAAATGTTCCACACTTCCCAATTTTCCAGCTCACACTGTGTAACTCAGTTAAACTTGAAAAAGGTTACTGTAAAGAAGGTCCTTCCTCTTCTCTTGCATGGGAAGAGCTCTCACCTACCAGGTAATAAGGAATTTCTCTAGTTTTCCATTTTTGTTGTTTTTGCCATAAGCCCTCCATTCACCAACTTCTTGAGCAGTTGCTGGCCAACAACATACATTCTACACAGAAAGAAGATTGGTGGTCATCCACAAGATAATTTCCCAAATGCGAACAGCTTGCAGTTTAAAGGGTAATTCTTGAGCTATAGATGTAGTGGTGCTGGCTAAGAGCCTATGGAAGATTTTATTTTCTTTGAATTTGCTTGCATTTTTAATCTGTATAATTTTTTTCCAGTTAAAACATTAAAAGAAGTCCCAGTTCTTTTTGCAAATTTGCTGTCTGTGCATTTATTTTCACTTCTGCTAGAAGACAAGTATCCCACTGTATATGACAGGTTCCAGCTACAGCAGATATTTTTTTTTTTAGCTTACACTGTTTTACTGGGGTCAGACACTAGTTTGTGAAACCAAAAATTTTTTAGAAAAATGACTAGTTTAAATAAACCTATTTTCTCTGGTCCTGTACAGAATTTTTGGGGAGAAGGCTGGGAAAATAAAAGAAACCTTCATTATCATGGTAGAGAATTTCTGGAGTGTGGGGAGGCACAGTTCATATTTGCTGTATTAGGCAGTATCAAGCTCCAGTAAATATTGAGTTCTTGAATGGAGTACCTCTGTGTGGAGGTACAAGATGAAAAGGGACAGCTGCCCTTTTTCAAATCAGCAACATGATTTTAAAATCTCATGTTATAAGAATCATATTGAAGTAATAGCTGCTGACAATGGGGACATTCAAAACCAGATGGTTTTGTAGGGGGTTAATATCTTCACCATAATAAATTTGGACAGGTCCTCTTGTACTGGAAAATGCTGCTGGTGTCAAATAGATGTGGAGAACTCAAAGTAGCAAACTGGAAAAATAAGCCCTATCTACTATTTGTTCCAGATTTAAGTGCTCCATTTTGGGTGATGTGATTGTTCAAATCTAGGTGGAGCTTACCAGACTGTGAGTTCATAATTTATTCATATCTTGTCTTCACGTTAAAGAACATAGTTTGAACTGCAGCATTTAATGTACGGATTTAGTACATTATGACCCTTATGTTAGCTCAGTTGGTCAGAGCATGGTGCTAAAAGCACCAGGGCTGTGGATTCAGTCCCCATGTGGACTTTTCACTTAGGAGTTGGACTTGTTAGATCCTTTGAGTCACTTCCAACTCAGAATATTCTGTGATCTGTGGTCTAGAAATAAATAAAGATGCACTTTGTCTGCTCTTGGTTTATGTTTGTTAGTGCTATGATTGGCACTGCTGTCTGCCTGATGCTGAATTGTTAGTTGTGAGCCCAGAAACAGACACTGAAGTGTGAATATATTTAATTCCTATTGTTTTATCTGATCTGTTTAACATTTCAAAGCACTTACATTGTTCCCTCCCAGAGATGGTTAACAAGTGGTACATCCACAGCTTGCATTGTCATTTATCCCCCATCTTAAAACTGAAGTAAATTTTCTAGCAACAATTTTTTTTCTCATCCTAACAGTGAATTCTTCTTCCTTGTAGCAAAGCTGTGATGGATGTATTGGTTGACTTATGCAGCCAGTATCGCTTAAATCCATCCCAACATAGTCTTGAACTGAAGTCTTCGGGATCTCAACAAGTTCTGAGTTACAAGCCAAACACTTTGATAGGAGCACTGGATGTACAGACAGTACTTCTGAAAGAGAAGATTCCTGAAGAGAAGGCAAAGCGACCTCTGCCAAGGGTCCCTGAGGTCAGTACTCTGTAGGGCTAAAATGATGCCACGAAACATCATTCCATTCCTATTCAGTTCTTCCAATCTTTCCATCTTTAGGCCAGATGGGAAAGACTTGGGATAGACTATAACCTGCTTTACTAGCTTAACTCTTTTTCATGTAGATTGGCAGAGGCTAGTCTAGACATGTAGAAAAAATGGTAAGTTGAATTTGGTTGAATAAGTGGAAATCTGAAGATTGGGGTGGTTGGAAATTGTAGTAATGGCTGAAATTAGTGTTGCAGGAGTTGGGGTGTTGTGTGGAGATAATGTTTTGGTGATATTTTGTGTACCATCTTCATTGAAGATATGGGAGAAGGTTGATCATTAATAAATGTGTTTCACAATACAGTGAAGATTAATAAGTAGTCACTTTCCAAATGTTTGCTGAAATTTTTTATTACTCTAATAGCTATATATGATTATACTCTTCCACCTTTCAGAGTGGGACTTGTAAATATTTATATTACATCTGCTTCTGATTCCTTTTTTCTTTGCATGTTCTTGTGAATGTCTCCTTAGTGGAAAGGGAGGTCTGAGATTTTATTCTTTCAAATATTTTTTGGCAACATGGGGTAAGTTTGCCTAGGAACAGTCAGGACAATATGGAAATCCCCAGTGCTTTTCTCATTGTAAGAGGACCAATCCATCACAGCAGGGAGACTGACAGTTTGTGTTTGTTTCTGCAGAAATCTGTGAGGCTGGTAGTGAACTATCTGAAGACACAGAAGGCTGTGGTTCGGGTTAGTCCAGAGGTGCCACTCCACAGCATCATCCCAACTATTTGTGAGAAGTGTGAAGTCAGTCAAGAGCACATTGTTCTTCTGCGGGATGGCATAACTGGGGAAGAGCTGGAGCTTACCAAGTCTTTGGAGGAGCTAGGGATAAAGGAGCTGTATGCCTGGGACAGAAAAAAAGGTGAGCCAAGACTGAAAGCAGCCCCTGCAGGATTATATGACGTGACAACCGTATTATGGGCAATTAAAAGCATTCATGCTGCCGTTCTTTTGGGGTCCAGCTGAAAGAGCAGAGTGAGATCTCAGTCCGGAGAGCAGCGTGGGTTTGTTCAGTGAGCTGTGCCCAGAGCAGCAGCCAGGTCAGCAACGTGCCCAGCTATCCTTGGTTGCACTTGGGCCTTGCGCCAGGCTGGGCTGGACTCTGGCAGGGTGCAGGATGGCCTAGGGCAGGGCAAAAGGAGGAGCTTTGCTATGTTCCAGAGCTGCTGTCAGTAGAGGTGTGCGTAATACAAGAAGCCTTGTCCAGGCAGAGTCTGTCACCTACCTGTGCTGTGGGTTGGAGAGAAGGAAAGCAGAGACATGTCATAGTCATGGCAGCTGTGAAAGCTGAGAGGCAGAGGCAACAGACCAGGGCTTATGAGAAAGAGACTGGACAGGATCAGAGACGGTTCCTCCAAAGAGCACAGTTATTGACAGTTTAGTGAAGAGGAGCTAAGAGGTATTTGTATTTAGAATTTTGTTCTCGTGTTTACCTATCCTCTTACTTTCTGTCCTCATAGACAAAATTGTAGTAGCACCTTCTTGGAGTTGAGTTTTATCAGCCAGATTATGTATTCAAATAACATAATTCTGTGATGTGCTTTAAAATATATCTGCTTTAAAAATGCACATTGACAAGCACTACTTCCTTTGAGGTCAGAAAGTGATATTCATTAAAATTGTATCCTGCAGTTTTTCTCAATCATTATCACTTCTAGCACAGTAAATGTCCTTATTTATTGTTGAGATAACGTCATTCTTGTAGGTGCTGAGCTGTAGGCTTATTTTTTATTTATAAAATTATTTATTTATGTTGACATTCTGTCTCTTCTTTCTAACTCTTTGATAAGTGACAGTTCTACCTCTGTGTGAGTCAAATTTCAGTGAGTTTAGACTTCTAAGTAAACTAAATATCTCCTTTTCTTTTGAATTACTGGGATGTTCCAAAGGAGGCTGACAACATGTCATAACTCAAATGCATATTTGTTTTTCTCAAGACATGTTCACTGTAATTTAACCATTTTGGAGCAACATATTGAACGCAGAGTGTATTCAACAGGTTTCATTCACCATACTTCAGGGACAACTTAGAGAGTAATTATCATAAGCCTTCAGTAAAATCTTTCCTGTCAAATGAAAGTAGTGGTGTGTATGCTGGTGCAGTGTTGGTCTTTGAATTTAGTTGCAGCCTGTACAGTCAGAACCAAGACTTTACTACAGGGCTGGGATTATAGCAGAAAATTATCACAGAATCACAGAATATATTGAGTCGAAAGGATCCACAAAAATCTACACATCATAGTGGGCTGCTCTCTATATCAGCTTTTTTTTTTTTTTAAATTCTATTATTTTTTAACCTTTCAGTATTCCTTTCTTTTCATTATGATAAAATCCCTCTGATCCTGAGTATATTTCAATCTTTTATGCTTTCCTCTACTCTGCACCATGGTGCCTGACAAAACCTGTAAATGCACATAAAATTTACAAGAATTTTCCCTTGGTTTCAGCAAATTTCTTCTTCAATGTTCTCATTTGTAATCTCCTAAGAGTAATAAACCCATTGGTTTCAGTAGCAGTTGGTCTGTGACTTGTGCATTGAGTGGGTATTTAGCCTGTTTACTTAACAGAAAACAGAGTTTTTAAACACATTCTCACTAACAAGCAATGTATCACAGGTGCTGAAAGCCATAGGCTGTGCTTGTAAGAGCAGATTCTAGAAAAACTCCTCATTCTTCCCTTGCCTGAAGCTGAAAACACCAAGAACCGAAGGATTTTTAAAAGAGAAGCTCTGCTGCCACCTGCTTACTTAATTCTATTTAGCAGTTGAAGCAGCTTGATGACTGAATTAGGAATTAATACAAATGCAGCTGAACTGCTTCAGTAGCAGCTCTGCATGTCTGTTGTCAATCAACATTTTTCTGTAATGCTTAGGAAAAAAGCTGCTAGGACTTATTAATGAATATTTTGCTTTACAGGGCTGTATTAGAACTTTAATGTGTTTTCTCTTATCCTTTCATTGCCTGACTTTTCCAGTTCCTCCATCAAAAACTCAGTCTGAACCTTCTCTGAACTATAGAGGTACTGTACAATGCTGCTGAGGGGAAGCTTCACTCTGTGTTTAACTCTTCCACTTCACTCTATGTTTAATGTGGGTTTGGTAGATAGATCTTTAAGAATGTCGAGTAAAATACCAAAGAGAAACAAGCTATTTTTGATCTGTTTTGTCTTTCCAAAGTGTTGCTTACATGTCTTGTGCTTGTGCTAAGAACAAATACATTCTGTGCGTACCATCTCCTCAGTAATAGCCATCAATTTGTTACTCCAGCAAGTAACAAATTCTGCTGTTTAACTGTTTTGTGGTGTGGTGTCTCTCTATGAATTCCAAGCCTGTTCAGTTTACCTAAATCAAGATTAGGTAAATTTTAGAATTATTAACATTTCCAAGGTCTCTTGGGTTCAGAATTTATTTAGTAGCAAAGGCGGAAAATCTTGATGTCTGTGAGATCTTCCACCAATTTCAATTTACATGCAGCAAAACACTTTAATATCAAATGTATACATACACATTGGGTAACTGAATAGATACTGACTTCTGAGTTTTTACAGTAGTTGGGGTTGGATTAGATTGTATTGGTGCTTTTGCTTCCAGTAAAATAGAAAATGTGTGTATTTAGTATGTCCTTTTCCCTATTGAGTCTGTTTTAATACATTGCTTAAATTAATTATCCTCAAGAAAGGTATGGTTATTTTCTAATGAGCTTTACTTCTTTGCATTACTAGTAGCATAACCAAAATAAAACTGGATAACTTATTTAAATTTTTATAAAGAAAGTCCACCTCCAGTAGGTGACAGACATCATGCAAATCTTAGCTCATGGCCTCTTGGCTTCACTAATGGCAGCACTATTCCCCCTAATCCTCTGTCATTACTTGCTGTGTCTTCCTTTTATATGGAGATCAATACTAGATTAAATATCTACTGTTTCTATTTAAGAAAAAAGTTATACAGATTAATAAATACTCATTATTTTGATCTTTATATGCATTATTTAAATCCTAATTTATTCGGATTACACAATATTCAATGACAGTGTTGATGATCAGCTGCTACAGTAGCCTTTTCACAGCATTGTTTATAGTTGAAGACTATGCAAAGGAATCATAATTCGTATCTAGTTGCAGCCCAGCCCCAAGCAAGAAACTAGCATAGAAAGTGTTTAGGATGTAAAAAAAGTATTAATTCATTATTCTGTTTGTTTGCAATGCAGTTGCAGCCTTTCTTAAGGGTAGTTTCTCCCTGTTGTCCTTTGTGTTCACTGTATGTGTTTAACACCTTCTGACACATGATATTGTTTATATGCAAAAGTGATCTGTGTGAAAATCACTTTGTACGTTATGCAAATAATTTACAACTGTACTGGGATGAGGTTTTTATGGTGAAGTAAACCTTTATTTTGTGTCAACAGGTAAGTAATTTTGAATTTGAATTTTAATTGTTAAGCAAATATTTACAAGAGAAAGTATTTTTTTCTCTTTAAACTTCTTGAGTGCTACTGGAATAATCTGATGTGCTTGGAATCAGGAGAAAAGATTTATGGCATTATACAGAGTCCATTTTAAAAAGTGAAGAAGTAAGAGTGTTTCATTGTCTGTGTATTAAATGGGTAATGTTGTTTCCTGTAATGCATGAGTGTGTAATTGTGCTCATGCAGCTTGTGGATGAGAAACTGAAGGGCGAAATTGAAGGGGATAATAAGTGGTATGAGAACTCATATGATTTCTGAAACATGTTCAAGAAAGACACATATGAGCTCTTACAGCCTGAAATAAGTATTAACTCCCTTCTTTTCCTACCTGAAGTAAAAGCACTAAGATAAGAAAGATGACCACAACCACCTAGTTTAAGTTCCAGAGCCCTGTTTCCAAGAGGAAGGTCTTTTTCCTCTTTATAGAGCTTTATCCAAATTACACATTGAGAATCTCTCATTTAAGTTCACAGTATTAAGTCAGACCTATGAATTGCTAAAGATACTCACCAGTATATCTTTTCTTAAGTGTTTGGGGTTTTTTAGTATTATTTAGTAGTTTTAGTATTATACTCTATGAAATGTAAGTGGTACATCTAGTAAGCATTTCTGAAGTCAAAAGCAATTTGCTTGTGTTTTGCTTTTTAAGAACAGTTGCTGGATTGTAATTGACAACGTAGTGCACTTTATTAAATTATTCCATTTGTCTTCATTAGATTTTGGAATATACTCAGAACACATGAAACTTTGAGGACAAAGTAAGTGCAGGATCTGGCTGCTACTTAGATAATCCAGTACATAATATCTTCAGTTTGTAAGAATCCAGCATTAATCCAGGGTTTTTTAAAGTACTCATTTCGTGAATATTTTAAAAATTTAATAATTATTCCATTAAAATTTTTTCAGAACCAAATCGAAAGGCTTCAGTAAGCAGTGATGCAATAGAGCAAGAAAAGACAAGACTTTTGGGATTGTTTAATGCTGATAGACGAAGCAGTAAGGTAAGTGTACAGCAGTGTACTGCTCATTAAAGAGAATTTATTTCTTTCCAGATCTGTTATATTTGTGGGTGGTAGCATTTGTTTGGCCTGCCTTCCTTTTCCTTCCAGAGAGTAATCTGTTAACAGGGGCATAGACTATGTGTGATCAGTGCAGCCTGATGGAGACATCACCTGCTTATTGAAGGAGTCAATCATTTTGACCATTTACGTTTTTATTTTTTTTCAATACTAAGAGTTCAGTAGGTGTTAAAAAAAACCAGTAGTTTCAAGCAACTTATTCAAACTGCTTATTAGTGGTACTTGCATTATAAAATGCACTTATAAAAGGATTGATGTAATACAGAACAATTTAATTACCAAGTAGATGTGTCTTATGACCTCTTCTGTGCATGGTTGATAATCTCTTTTAAAGCATTTATACCACTCAGAAGCTCTGTGCAGTCATACCATTGCTATCTCCAAGTCCGTAAAGGTGATGAATCAGATATAGAAGAAATAACTTCCAATACTGAAATGAAGGATCAGTGTCTGCTGGGGTACATACTAGCCATTTTTAACCTTGTTTGTATTCTTGAACTGAATAGGGAAGAAATTTTGTATACGATAATTCTGTTTAGATGCATTTATGAAGAATATTTCGTTTATCACAGGAATAAAATACAGAATAACTTTCTGACTTAACATAGAGAAAATAACGGGCTTCTAAGTTCATACTTTTTGCATTCTTTACTAAAAATATTAGTGTTAAATGATTTTGGACATAAAGTGCTTAATACTCTAGGATGTCAGAGGAAAAAGGGAATTTTTTTTCTAGTTTAAATCCTCCAAGGCTGTGTATCTGATTAATTGGCAGAAAGAAACATTTGTTTATTAATGGACTGGTTTTGCACTTGTCCAGTCTTCTCAGTTACAGTCTCAAAACTGTGAAGGCTTTTCAAAATCTCTCACAGTTGTCTGCCTTTTTGTTCATGATCATATTTGTGGTGCTTTTGCTAAGGAATAGATTCCTTTATGGACATTGTGAATTACTGTGTTGGTAAACCTTATTTCTCTCATAGATACTAAACTATTCTTAATATCTTATTAAGACATGTGAGAGCTATTTTATGAGATAAGAAGCCAGTTACTTTCAAAGTGTTTTTCCACTGTAAGAAAATACTTCCTATTTAGAAGGGAAAAAATTATTACTGGAGTGATAATATTGTATCTGCTCAGAAGAACCAAGTAAACAAGGGAGCTCACCCTGAGCCTCTAGAGCATGCTGTGGGGCTGTTATTCTTCTGGAAGAACGAAATACATAACAGCATGCATTTTCTGCATCAAACTTTATCCTCTCATTCCATTTTACTGAACTTGGGTGTGAAAACTGTGTTCTTGCAGTTCTGACTCCTGAAGCAGATCAGTTTCAACTTTTAAAGTATTAATGCTTACAACCTTAGCAAATGTTACTGTGAAGCATCCTAGTTCAGTGGTTACTGCAGTGAACTTCTCACAGCAATGTTGGAAATGTGTTCAAAGATTGCAAGTTCCTCTCTTTTTTTCTGTTTTCTTTATCTTGTTTGTTAATCAAAGTAAAGGAAGTGATACTCTGAGTTTTTTAAAATAGAAATTTAAAAAAATGCTAAGGATATTGAGGGTGAATTGAATTCAAAATAGTATTTGACCTGGGAAAAAATAGGAACTGTACAAGCAAGTATGAGAAACAGCTTTTAAGTCTGAGGAAAAGGTCTAAGTCTTTCTTGCTGTTCTGACAAGTTAATTGATTTTTCTTGGTTGTTTCTTTATTGGACACTTACTTTCAAATGGCAGTAACTCTGTAGAAAAAGAAACTAAATCAGTCATTTTGTTTAGTTCAGCAAGGAAGTCACTATTGCCTTCATAAACCCCTGGGAACTTAAAACGCAATAGACGGAAGAATTACTGAAAACTGAAGAATAGAACAGCACACAGGATGCAAGCAGGTGTTAACTAGGCATAATATAGCTGACTTGCTATTGTGAAAGCTTTTCAACCAAAACAGCAGTGAAAGTACTGAACAGACTTAGCAGGATGAGGGCAAATTAATAAAGTTCTTTCAATAAAGGATTTGGTAGGTTTATGAATGGATTAGATGATGGGATGCCTTGTGATATCAAGGGAACTGGAATCAAAACCCCAGGGTGCCTAAACCCTGCTCCTTATGGCTTTTTTTACATTTTTACTTCCCCACAAGGCTTAAGTTGGTTCTGTGTATTTTTTTGTTTTTTTATTTTCATTATGATTTGCAGCAGTGAGGTGTGTGTGCATGTGGTCATGCATAGTCTCCATTTTAGAACTATTTGATAGGAAGAATTGTTCAAAGTCCTGCACAGTAGTACAACTGCAGACTTGCAGGCATTTGCAAGGGGAAGGCAATTTATTTTGCAAGAGAAGAAGAGTGTTAGCCTGTATTACAGACTCTCCTGGATCAGGTGTCACTGCACACTACAGGCCTATGCTCAGATTTCCATGCCCATGCACATGCTTGCTTTCTCAGCTAGCTCACTGAGAGCGGTAATTGTGGTATGAAAACACACCAGATCTAACTTTTTTAGAAAAAACTTTCTGCCATATTGAAAATATTGTGACATAGAACGAAAGCAAAGTCCTATTCTCATGGCTGGTACAAATTTGTTAAAAGTATTTCTTCAGTTAACTTTGTACTGGCAGGCTTAATGCCAGATCAGGTATCATCTTGTTCTCTCCATTCTAGTATTATGCTGGATCAGTTACCCTCTGTTTTCCTGCAGCTGGCATAAAAAACATAAAGGTGGCATGAACTCCATTTCTTTTTGATGTTAAATGTAGTCATTTTCCTGAGGCTAAATCCAGATCAAATTGGCACTGCAAAACAATCTGGTAGAGCAGAGGTGCTATGCAGGCAATCAAGGGTCTAGGCTTAAGTAAGGTATGTGTTAGCACTCAGAAACTGTTCCTTCATGGAGAAATGGCAAGGAAGGGGCTCCCTGCTTTTTCCATTGTGTCTGTGGGTATAGCAGAGACTAGCAGGCTGGTCCCTGATATTACAGGAATTAGTTGCTCCCTATTTTTATCTTTGCCTAAGAATTTCATCATTGTATTTTTAAATCTTTTTGCTGATGGCTTTCTTAGCTCCTCTCCTACATTAGAGGATTTTGCAGAGTTTCTCAGCAATCAGGTCCAGCACTACTGAGACAGTTGCCTTTGTTCCATGATGGGGTTTGGTATTTTGCTCTGGCATGTTTTTGCAGTTTTGTTTCCTTTGCTGCTGCTGTGCAGGACACTTTTTTTGTTGCAGACAGAAGAATACTTGAGGATGAACAGAGATTGTTGTGAGGAGGATGCAATTAGTTCTGCATCTACAAGTGAAGGAAGCTTGGATGTAAGTACTAACACAGCTTGTAGATGCTATTGCATTCTTATTAGACCCTGCAGTTTGAATTAACCAGAAACCACTGCTATTCCTGATGCTTAGCCAAGTAGAAGTAGAAATAGCTTATGCTTTAGCAGGTTTTGTTACGTGAGTGCACAGTTTGCATATCTTCATGAGATTAAAATGTAATATGTTGTCTTCAAATGAAATTTGTTAGCTTCACTATGAATAAAGTTTTTTTCAATGTTTAATTCTAAGCAGTTGTGAGAAAGAAGAACATAGGTGTTGTGACATGCAGTGACAGTCCTGCAAGAGACTGTTTGCCTTACCAGTGCTATTTACAGGGGGGTTTTCTTATAAAACCAAGCTTTTCCTTTTCATCCCTGTATCTGACTTCTGCAGCATGGCAGCATTCTATTTGTTTCATGAGGAGATTGTGGGTGAAGAGCAATCACTGGAAAAAACAGATACGACTTTTTTTAAGTACCTCAGTAGGGTTTGGGGTGCTAAAATCTGTGAACCACATTTAGAAACATTTTTAAGTGACTGACAGCCTACCGATTTATGAGAATCTAAATAGGAAGGTATCAGATTGGGAAGTGTGAATCCTAAATATTTTCTAAGATGGTTCTGGTGGTATATAATTATAATAAATGGCATATCTTTTTATTACTTTTTAAAATTAATTGACTTTTTAATCATATTTTCAAAACCTAGAGAAGACTGATGATGTGATAGAAGTTTGAAATACAAGTTTCAGCTCTGAATCCCCCTTTCATAAACAGATTTTTGGAAAAGGAGTGTGGATCTGCAAAACTCACTAGCCACAGAAAAGAGTGACAGGAAATTGTGTAAAAAATTGAATAAGAGAACAAATCCCAGATGAAAAGAGTAGTATAAAAGGAGTCCAAAAGGAGAAATAGATAGAAAATTGATTGGCTGTAAAGTGTAAAAAGCCAAACTCTGAAAATCTGTGAAGACTTCATAATAAAATATTACTGAAATGGGAAAGCTGCTTGTGATACTAAAAAATTGGGCAACAGTATACGTATGAATAGATTAATAGACCTCTCTTACTAAATGAAAGTTCTAGAAGAGGGTGATCATGTGTAATTGAAACTAACTAAGTAAAAGCATAGAAAAAGCATCACAAGCTCCACCAAAATAAAATAATTTTTTTGTTTGTATTCATTTACATTATAAATTTATCTCAATATCTTGATACACAAGTACTAAAAAAAAAAATGAGGAGGAAGAGTAGAAATTACAAGCAACAATATGATGATAAAGGTTTTGGTGCTTTCCACGGAAGAGAAACATCACCTTATTTTTCTAGGGAATTTTATAGGGAAAATTGTAAATTAATACATTTTTTTCCCTCTGGCATTGATGAAAAAAGTTTTCAAGACCATTTTGAACATGGAAATGCCTTCTAATGTTACCAGTTTCTAGGGAGGAAAGAGCTCTTGAAGAGGTAAAAATGTTTTCTTTTTATTCAGTTAAATGAGCATGTCAGGGACTCAAACTTTTTCTCACTTTCTTCTTAAGACGAATTAATCTTGAAGAGTAAGGTGGCACTTGTTCAGGGTTTATGTCTTTCTCTTCTGGTTGGACACCCGTATTTATATGA